GTGTAAATTACTGCTACTCTTGTGTAAGTAGGAATTCAACTAAACTCCAATGTTGGCCTTTGCACAACAAGCTCCAGCACACAAATGTTTTCTTGTGTATAAAACCTGTCTGCCTTTGGGTACAACCAACTGAGAGATWAAAAAAATATTAATCCCAAAACACRTGGYCAAGAACTRCTGGGAACTCTGACACTGGGTTTTATTAACACTTGGGGGGAAAATAATAAAACTTTCACTTCCAGCTCTGTTGTGAAAGCACTTTCCCCTCCAGTTTTTAATATTGCTGTTCAAAGTTCAGCCAGAAAAGGTTTGCTTTGCTCCTGAAAAATCTCCCAGCACCAGTGTTGAACGGGTCAGGGATCAAACAGCCTCTGGGAAAGGTTTTCAACTCAGGACTCGGTTCTTTTTGTAGGGATTGGAGAAATATTTGTGTTTTTCTCATGTGTGTGCTGCCTGAGAGAAATAATTGGGGTCATTTCAGCTCTTGACWAGAGGAGTCAGGGATGAGCAGGAGATGTTCATGAGGCATTTATAGGAGTTGACTTTTACTTTGCAGAAAATGCTGCTACAGCAAATCCAAATATTAAAAAAAATATGCAATTTTAAAATGTAAAGTTTAAAAAATCACTATTTTAATCTGAAGGAACAAAATGGACTTCACTGTGGAAGAATTTTAGTCCTGATGACACATTTTATTGCTGTCATATTTGATTTTAGAAAAGCTGTGGGAAATTCAGCTGCAGAATTTCTTTTATTCGATTTATTTAATTTGCCCCAATTGAAGATATATTTATTGAGGAAATTATTGTGAGAYTGCAGAAGTTTTGGGGTTATCCTCTCCCAGATTTTCCTTCTCTCAGTTCATTCCTATGGGATTTGGCCATGGATTGTGATATTTAGGAACAGTCAAGGAGTGCATTATGGCATCACTTTCCCCTCTGCAGTCACTGCTCTGGCATCTCCTTATTGCAGGTCCAAAGTACGTGGGGATGAAGGAGGTTTTATGATATTTGAAATTGTGGGTTGTTTGTTGGGCGTTTTTTGTTTTCTTTTTTTATGATCTTGAAGAAGAACAAACCCAAAGGCACGAAGCACAATTGGCACTCGGCTTTGCACCACACACAGAGCTGTCAGAATTTAACAAATCTCAAACCCCAATGTTTCACCTCTGATGCTGCACTGTGGTGGCCAAATTTATCAGAACTCACCCCCAATATTCTCTGCTCCCCAGCAKTGATTTCCATTCAGCCACATGCACTGCAAGTGACATTTTGCTGCTATTTTGCTTTTTTTTATCCCATTTATTTTGGGGTTTTTCAAGCTCCTGCCAAGTGCTGGGTGTGTTCCTGATGCCCCTTGGTGTCCCATCAGCCTGACTTTCATTTCTTGTCGCTGCTTAGTCCCTGACACATCATTTTATTGCCATTCTATTCGCCATGGCAAACATTAATAAAACCAAACTGCATTTCATTCTCCAGCAAAGCAAAGATTTATTGAATTTCCCCACYGGGTTTCAGCTGGTGCCTGTTGCCGTGGCAACGTGCAGTAACTTTAGGAATTGGCTCCAGAATTTCCTGAGTTTTCGTGTCAAATTGGAGCAGCTTGGAAAGCTTTCCTTGCACAAAACAGGATGGGAGGGAGGAAGATCCCACCCTGCTCCCTGAACACTGGTGAAATTCTGGATCAAAAAGTGGGTACAAAAAAATTAGGAATTTTTCCAGGGTTTTCATTCATCCTTTGTGCTGCACAAGAGAATAAAATGTTGGTTTTTTTTTTTATTTATTTCAATTTGATGTCTTGGTGAAGAGCTCTGGGTCAGGTTGGGCTGTTGTTCCCCCTCTTCCCAGCCAGGGATTCAGGCTCTTGGCTTTGCTCACGTGGTGACCTGGAAAATGTTGATATTTTAAYGAAAGAAGGTGTAAAGATGCTAAAATAATTCATAAATAGGAAATACAAATGAATCAGACAATTAATATAAGAGGAAAAAGGGATTAATTTCA